GCTGCTGCTGCAGGTGGCTCGATACCAGCTGGTGCCTCCTTCTGCTGTGTCTGCTTGTTTTTGGGAGACACCTGGTGCCTTGCTCCTGCCCTCCCTCACATGTTGGGGGAAGGGACATGGACAGCCTCAGCAGGAGCAGTGCATCACCCTTGCACTCTCCTTTGCCTTGGGGTAGGGGGTGGGAAAAAGACACGGGTGAATTGCTCCAAGACACCGCTCTGAGGAGGAGGAAGGTGAAGAAGAAGAGGGACATGCACTTGCCTCCAGGGAAGTGCTGCTGTTGGGGCAGTCTGCTTCTGGATGAGGAAGGTGGGAGGACACGGGGGTGGTTGCTCTCTCTCCATCAAAGCCCATGTCAGCTCTGTCTCCCAGCCTCAGCCAGCCCCCAGGACTTCCCTCACTGGCTGGCTTGGCAGGAAGGAAGGAGGTATGTTTACTGCCACTGCCAGTTGAGAGGGGCTGGTTGCTCTGAAGGGGCTGGCGGGCAATGAGTCCCCCATCTCCCTCAGTGTGACGTCAGCATGTCATCTTGCTGGTGGGTGATGTCGGTGTGTTGGGGACATCCTCGCCCACTCTAGGAATGCCCCCCAAATTCCTCTGCTGGGGACGAAGATGGACCTGGCAACCCTACTTTTAGCTTATCATAGTACTTACTAAAAACATTAAATGCACTTTTGATTATGTTGGTAGAGAGTTTCATAGTTGCAGCCGTATGCTTTAACATAGACATTCTTTAAGATCATCAGAATGTTTTAAAGGAGAAAGTAGTTCCAAACAAGGCAGTAATCAGTAAATGATAGGGTTGCCAGGTCTCACCTTACCTATGGTGGGGGGCTCCTAGCTCCTCGTTTGGACTGTCACAGCATGATGACATCACTGGTACTGACATCATCACGTTAGGGCCATCCCCCCCAAATGCTAGAGTATCACTGTGCAACGGCCCCAGCATGATGTTATCATTATCATGCAAAACCCATTTATTAAGGTTGCCGTCCCCTAGTTGGGCCAGGGGAATCTCCCATTTTGGGAGGCCCCAATCTGCTGTCGGCCACCTGGCCAGCAGGAAAAGCCCCACCCCCGAACAGCAGCATCCCAATGGTTAGGATTGCAGAAAGCTGAAACAAAGCATAAGTACCATCAACATAATGTGTTAACAATGTAGAAATTTCATAGTGTGATAATACAGCAGGAAATATTACATATGATAGAAGAAGAGGAGGAGGAGATTGGATTTATACCCCGCCCTTCACTCGGAGTCTTAGAATGGCTTACAATCTCCTTTCCCTTCCCCTCCCCACAACAGACACCCTGTGAGGTAGGTGGGGCTGAGAGAGCTCTTTCCAGAACTGTCCTTGAGAGAACAGCTCTGTCAGAACTATGGCTTGTCCAAGGTCATCCAGCAGCTGCAACTGGAGGAACGGTGAATCAAACCCGGTTCTCCCAGATTAGAGTCCGCAGACTTAACCACTACACCAAACTGGCTCTATACACAGTAGGGTATAGTGTAAGTAGTGTAATAGTAGTGTAATCCACAGTCACTTTGTTAAAGCATCTTCCCAATCATTCCATTATAATATTAACCCTATTACTTTTGTAAAAATGCTTAATTAAAAAGAATTGCAAGGATCCAAAGAACTTTTTAGGTGACTCCAAAGGTTTACAGGTGGCCGGTGGGATTTCAGTATTTTTCCTTTTAACCTCAGCCCATCTTGTCCTTTCAAACTATTTTAAATTTTTTCTCATTTTCTTTTTTCTTTTCTTTTTTTGTCCCCCCGAAGGGGATTTTTTAATTACATTTTTCTAAAGACTACAAATCTACAATGAAAATGAGGGAAGGGAACTACAATTAGGGATAAAGAAAAGAAAACCCACTACTATCTAAAATCCCAAAAGAGGAGATCCTCAAAATCTCTTAAGTACAAAGTCCGTTCTATACTCGCCAACAAGTTTTTGAACTTAGTCAGGTCTGCTATTACAACTTTTGAAACTTAAATTAGCTGTTAAAAAGAAAAACCCCAGAGCATCTCGTTACAATCAACCCTTTTCAAACCTTCAGTCTTCATTTCTTCTTATCCGGTCTTCTTCGCAATTTATAAGGACTTTTAGGAGCCGCTGCTCCTTTCTCTGACAGAGAGTCCTCTCCAGAAGACCCCGAGTCCAGCTCGCCAATGGTCTTACTGTCCTCTTTATCGCCTTTCTCTTGCTCACCCAACTGGATTTTCAAAAAGTCCCGTGCTTTGGAAACAGAGTCAATCTTTTCCTTTTAATCTTGAAATTTGAAGGTTATGCCCTCTGGATACAGCCAATGATAGCTGATTGCATTTGTTTGAAGAAAAAGGATTAAATCTTTGTATTTCCTTCTCCTTTGTCTTATTTCAAATGGGATGTCTTTAAGAATCCTGATGGTACTGTCCCCGATTTTCAAGGTTGTCCCCGTCGTCACTCTCAGGATAGTATCCCTCCCATGTCTCTTCGAGAATCTCATTACTATTTCCCCAGGCAGATTATTTTTTTTTTTTTTTTAATATATTTTTATTTTGCATATCACATGATAACAACACAAATCATATATTTTTTAAAGATACTATACAGTCCATTACATCCTCTTTTACACCGTATCCCTGGCAATGGCTGTTTACATTATAATGGTTATTAAAACAAAAAGATTTT